ACAGAGTACATCCCCTTGCTGTTGCCAGGCGGGTGCCCTGCAGCAGTCCGAAAAGTGTTAAGACAAAGGCAAATTGCCACTAAATTGGCACTTAAGAAATTTTGTGCTGAGCTGGCCTTTAGGCCAGGACGTGGTTCTGCTCAGCCGGACTCCTCGGACTGCGACTACTGTCAATTAAAACCCAACTGATGTTTAACAATTTAATTATGAAAGTTAACGAGTTTAAGTTGAACTACAGCCCAAAGGCAACGGCCAAGGGCAGAATCTCCTCTCCCATTCGAGTGGGAAAACCAAAAACCGCCCTGGGCCACTTTAAGTTGCTTTTTTCGTATATTGATATACCTTTCAACAGACCAATATTTGTGGCTCCTCGAGTGGAATACTTGTGGCTCGGACTCCGTCAACTGTTGGCCTGCTTGGGCTTGAGTTTTGTTAGCTTAGAAATATTCAAAATAATTCATAAATATTCGTAATCAAATACTTTTGAAAGAATTAAAGAGTTGTGCATACTTTTCGTTAATTCCTTAAACTATTCCGAGTTATTAATGAAACTTTAAAGGTTATAAATTAAAGGTACTTACACCCCCCTTCGGCAACAGTTGAAGGCTAGTGATGATTTTATATATGTGAATGTGAAATTACAATTACCGCAAGGGGAATTTTTAAGTTTTCTCAGAATTAATTGTGGGTCTCTTTATGGCTGGCATCTTTGCAACTAAAACCATCGCCTTGTTGTTGCTCACCATTAAGTTTTGGGCCACAAAGGAAGCCTTCATTAGCAGCCAAAATGAGCTTAAAATTTGCGTCTAATTATTGTGCATTTGTTGGCCAGTTTTGCATTTTCCTGCTTGACTTGGCCTGACCTTCCCGGCCAGATCTTGTTGCTGCTCTGTATTTATGGGGCAAGCTCCGCTGCAGTTGTGCTATTTTTAATGAGTTTTTGTTGTTTTCCCAGGCAGTTTGGAGAAGTTTTCACGTTCCCTTCTTAGAGCTGGTGCTGCTCCTTCTGCTCCTGGTGCTGTTGAAGCTCCAGCGACTGACTCGATGACAGACTGAGGGAAAACGCTTGACTGGCTGACTTGCACTTGAGGCACTCGAAAAACTAATCAGCGTTGGCCAACTTTTCCTTTTCCCCATTCTTTTTGCAGATGCCGGGCAGTTTTACGTCTCCCTGCAGTGGCCAAAGGAGTTTACAACATAATTAAGAATGTTGCAAGAAACTTGAGTGCGTTTAATGAGGAACCGACCAAGAAATCCAGACCAGCCCGTGCCCGTGCCTGTGCCTGTGCCACTGCCTCTCAGCCTCCTGCCGGAGCATCGTTTGTTTTGTGGAAACTTTTCCGAGGTGCCGGGGAGGTGCAGCTGAAGAATTTTCGGGCTCGTTACTTATCTTGCTCATTTCCTTTCAGTGCACTTTTGTGTTGGGCATTAACATGGTCATTATGTGTATCCTGCCTTCCTGGTGGCTGCATCTAATGTCCGTGGCGTTGGCCTGCATCTGCCAGCCACTTTCTTTGGGGCTCCTGGCTCCTGGCCCCTCGCTCCCTTGCTCTTTGTTCTAGCTCCTTTATGAATTATGTCCGCCACTCTCTCAAGTGGTATCCTTCCTTTCATACTGCCCTCAATTGCATAATCATGTGCATGGCTGTCGAGGGCTCCGTGCGGATATCCCACTGCATCCATATCTGCATCTGCATCTGTTTATCTGTAACTCTCCCCTTGTTTCGCACCTCCGGCTTAGGAACTATAATACTCTCTACTCCCATTCGTAATCGTCCGGCTCTAATGTGCTAAAACTTCTCTGCTGCACGCTCCACTGCCTTTATGGCCACCCGGCAGTGGAAGCTGCCAGCTCGCAGACCCACCCACAGCCCCCTCTAATAGTGGCGCATTTAATTTTCATTATCGTCACTTGACTGCGCAATTGTTTGTTGTTGCTCTTTGTATTATGTTACTTATAAATATTGTTTAGCTTATTAGCGAGTGTTTTCCCTCTGTTTTCTGATTTATTTTTTTCCCTCTTAGTATCTTTAAATTCATTCAAATTAACGTTTATTGAGTATTCAGTGAAATATTCGCGTCAACGCTTTTGGTTTTTGTCCAAGTTTTATTTAGTTTAGTGACGTTTTAAATCACTTTGTATTAGTATTATTATGGAAAACAATTTGGAATAGAATGCCATTAAATTGGGCGGAAAATTGTGTCAAAGGCCTTGTGTTTATCTCCATTCGGTTCATTTGGGCAGCAGCTTTCAATCGCCAGCTTTAAACCAATTCAAAAATCTCGATTGTCGGGCGGCAGGGGATTCTATAGCTGGCCAGAACTACCAATAAGAGTGGCTTTAATTACCAAAACCATCTAAAAAATATTATTTGGTCCAAGGAGGAGGCGGACAAATCATCTGCCCCTGAAGCAGTCGTCCTTTTTTCCATCCGCTCATTTACCATTTTGTCCTGTTTTTCTTTACTTTTTTTTGAATGGGATTTCTGCGCTGGGTGCTAAATGTCAGCAATGCAATTAAATCGGGAATGACCAACGATGAGAGCCAGGCTGGCTGACAGCGAGCTGGCCAAGGCAGCTGGATCAGAAGCTGGAGTTGTAGGAGTAGGAGCTGGCGGAGCTATAAAATTATGAAGCGAAATTGGATTTAAGAACAGCCCCTGGCTCCCCTGATCCCAAAGGGCCGAGAAGGAAATGCTAGTGCCATTAGCGCCATTTTGCTTGGATGTCCCCGTTGTCCTGTTCTTCACTTCCGCTTCAGCCAGCACCAGCACCACCCCCGTCTGTGGCTGGGGCTAGGGCTGTTGCTGGTGCTGCATTTGATGACTTGAAAATTGTAATTAAACTGCGTTTGTTGTCATTGCATTTAAAAATAATCATCATAAATATTGCATAATAGGGAAAGGCAGGACAAAGGCGGCGAGGAAATGAATGGAATGGCAAGGAAAGCTGCCAGCAGCAGCCACCAAGTTGTTATATTTAACTATTAAAAACTTTTGCAGGGAGCTTCATAAAAAGGCGTGCGAAGAGCGGATAAGCGAAATGAATGAAAGAGACTAAGACAAACTAAGGTACGGGAGGGAGAGAGAGAGAGAGAGAGCCCATCGCTAGTGTCCTGGCCCTGAAAGGGTTTTTACCAGTTGGAATCGTAGGCTGGAGGAACGCTTTAATTAAAGTGAAATGCAAACATTTCAATTAAGCAGCGACTCCAAGCTGATTTCAATCTGGCTAAAAGGATAACTTCCGGTAGACACTTTGCCCTCATCTGTGCCTCGGCTTTCCCCGTCCTCGTGTGGTCTTTCTGTGTGTATGTGTGTGTGTGTGTTTGTGCGTGTCTCCATCGGAGTTCAAATGTCGGCCAGGGCACAACTAAGAGGGCATTGGCATTTCCAGGAGGCGGGCGTAATCGGCGATTGACATTAATTTTGCATTAGTCTGCCATCCTGCTAGCCCCCTTCTGTACGTCGCTCATACGCCCGGCTATCCACCGAATTAAATTATGCGCGCAACCCATAAAAAGAAGGCAACTCAAGAGGCTATTGTTTCAGTGGCCAAACAGTTTCCGGTTTGACTCCCCCAGCTCCAGCTCCAGCTCCAATCCCAGTCCCAATCTCAGTCCAAGGCCCAGACCCTGCTTTGGCTTATTTTATTTTCCAATTAAGTAAATTGCGTGAGTCGGACAAAGATGGAGACGCCTCTCCTTTTGTGGGATACATCACAGGCGGGTGGCGAGGAAAAAGAATGTGTTTCGTTTCACCTACACTGCGAAAAATTCTGCCACAGAATAAAGTTTGAAATACAAATGGGAGCTCCTCAATCCCGGTGATCCGCTCTTCTCTAATCTGCTTGGGTTTGCCATTCATCGCCATTCATCTCAGATTTTTCTCAGTGTATGTACGTACGTATGTATGTGCTCTTGGCGCTGAACATCGATACCACGGCAACCACGTCAACCACGAGGGCTACAATAACTAATCGCCGAGTCTGTGGCTCGGTTTTAATTGATTCAATGTCGAGCGCATTATCCAGCAGCCCACACGAAGTCGACTTGATTACGATTATGGACTTTGATGTGAGAAAGCTGGATGTAGATGATTGAGGAAATTGAGGACGGAGTCGGGAACTTCAATTTGACAGTCTGTCTGTCACTGCTCTTGCCAGACGCTCATCCAATTTGTATAGCATAATGCCCCTGTGGTCTTGGGACTGGCAGCATTGTTATCATTTTTATGGGCTTAATCGATGGGCTGCGATAATGAGATTATTGTGGCTGAGGCTGGTTAACTGAACCGCGAACAATATGTGTGAATCGACATTCAAATGGAGTAGAAGCCGAGCCAATTAGCTTCAGGGAAGATTTGTATGGAGTCGCCATTCTATATAGAAAAGGGAAATCAATTCAATCAGCACATGTACGAGTAAACTATGAGAGAAGGGACAACCAGTAGTAGAGTGATTTGCCATACAAAGCACAAATTAGAAAAAAAACAACAAATGCTGCAGTCACGTATGGAATTCACATTAATTGAATACAAATACAAATTATAATTGTAATTAAGACACATTATTGGCTTACTTTTGATTTTGTTTGCCTCTCTAGAACCAATAAACAATTGTTGGCATTTTTAATGAGTTTATAGGCATAATCAACTTTACGATTAATTTGTTGCCTGACTGATTGCCCCACAGACACACACATTGGGGCTCTCACACATGCATACGTAGTATACAGTAGAGCGACAGATGTCCAACAATGGCTAGTGGCTTAAAGAGCTGCTAATTAGATTAAGTGAAGTGTCAAATTTAGTACGAAGTACGTTTTCCCTTTTGGTCGAGGCAGTTGTGTGCGCTTAACCTACTCCCAAGTGCACTTCAACGGAGGCAGCCAGGCGGCAACACGGGCAACTGTAAGCAACTGTAAGCGGGGAATGGGCAGCGGGGAACTATGTAACATGATGAATACTGCCACTACTACAGCGTACAAATGTTTTCACTTACAGGCGGCAGCAGCAGCAGGAGCAGGAGCTGGTGGAGCTGGTGGAGCAGGCGTGGCAGGCAATACAACAGAACGGAGGGGAATAAACTGGGCCAACAACTTTAAAAGTACAAGCGGAGGAAGAGCCATCATGAGAAGTGCATAGACCAGGAACAATAGCAAATGCCACGTCAGCAGCAGCACCAGAAGCGGCAACAACCACAGCAACAGCAACAGCAACAGCAAGAACGTGCAACAACGACCGTAAAAACGAGTCAACAACAGCTTAAAACATAATCCGCTGTCTAAAGGCAACAAGCGGATAGAGAGACGGCGAGACAGTACGAAAGAGGAGAAACCAGAGAGTGAAAGAGCCACACAGAGAAACAAAGAAGGAGAAGGACAAGACTGAGTCGGACGGAGACCGCTACCCAGTGATGGGCGAGAAGAAAGCGACATTGGGAGTGACGAGAAATCGTTGGTGTAATTAGTGCTGCCAAAGCGCGTATGAATCAAAAGCCTGGCCCGCAGCGGAAGCGGAAATGCAGGCGACAGACGGCCCACTCAGCGGAGACGGAGGAGGCCACTAATGGAACGGCGCGCGATCATGTCCGACGTTGAGAAGGCGATTCAGATTAGGGGCAAGCAGCGCCTGCCAGAGGATGACGGAGATGTGGCTGATGATGTGGCGGGGTCAGGGCCAGGCACAGGGCCGTGCTCGGCCGTGGGGGTAAAGACCACGGCCACATTGATGGCCAAGAAGAAGAGCTGCCCGCGACGCTGCCTCGGACAGCTGCTGAAGCTGGTGCTCTCGACGCCCGGCCTGATGCTGCTGGTGACGGCCTACTCCGTGCTGGGCGCCCTGATCTTCCCGCTGCTGGAGGCGCCCCAGGACCTGAGCAAGTCGGCGGCCATAGCCAAGAGCCGCGAGGACTGTCTCCGTGAGCTCTGGATAATAACGGGTGAGTCCCCCCCATTAGCATTCCATGCGGCATTCTGACGCATTGTCCAAAAATTGCTTAAATAGCCAAAAGGTTTAATGTCGGTAAATGGTAATTGTAAAGCGACACCGTTTGCCCATTAGTGCCGAGCAAATAGAGCCAATGCAAATATTTTAATTAGAATAAACCACAAACCAAACCCCACTCCACGCCATTCCACTCCGCTCGGCTGAATAGCATAAAATTGCATTTTCTAGTCTTATTCCCGAAATTGAATAATGCCCAAATATTTGCATAGCCAAATGTTTGGTCAGGCGCCAAATTTCAATAATTCTTCCACCCATTTGCGTTCTGCTATCGTGTTGCTTATTGCGGCTTATTTGTTGCACGGAATTGATTTACTCGAAACTAATTACTTTGTCGCACCTGCCATTGGCACGCGATGCTGGTTTTGAGCAGCTCTGCTCATGAGCACTAGAGCTTATATTTGTTTAATTAAAATTCCACATCATAAATAAACCAATTAACCTTAGCTCCAAGGCATTAGTCTCCGTGGAGAGTACCACCTGGCGTATGATTAATCTGATGAGCCCTCTGCCGAGCTTAAAAATGTGCAGCATCCATCCATCTGCCTACCCATCTCATAGTTCATTTATCTTTCGCGCGAGCATGAGCTGGGGATTTTTCAGGATTTGCTGTTCCCAACACAGAATTTGTTAAATGAATCCTCATTTAATCAGACGCCATCTCTTGGGAATGCACTTCGTCAATAATAAGGAAAGAAATCCAATCGCAAATTCTTTGATACGAGTGCATTAATGAAATTCCCGTAATCCGTTCTTGAGGGAAGCTGGCAGAGCGCGGAACATGAATTAAATTCAACACTTTCTAAAGAATCTGCTATGCAAGGAAAAGGTAGAAGCATTTCCAGAGGCCAAAGGCACTTGATCCTGTGGAAATGCTCCTAATAGGTGGAACCTTTGCTCTGAATGTTTTCCTCACAGTGTGTAACAGTGTGTTCGATTGGAGAGGGCCGATGGATGGGCGGGAGGCTCTGTGTCCTCGAGGTATGCCTGAAAAACGGCCCTTCAAGGCCAGAGGGCGTCAGCACACAGAAACCAGCACCCAGCACACGAGTCTCGGAACTGTTATCGTTGTTGTTAACAAGCGACCCTGCAATTTGCCAGGCCCGAACACGACATCAAATGCCTCAAGACATTTGGCCCATTTGGGTGGGGAAAGGTGAGCAAAGGATAAGGGATTTCCAAGCACTTGTCGACCGTGTCGATGGGGGGTCGAAGGCTGACAGAGGTTATCACTGCACTTGGTATGAAATTGCATAATTGCCACAAGGGTTTCGGCTTGTCCTCGACATCCTTTCGATGACACTTAACATTTTCTTCTCTTCGCCCGTCTTGCAGAGAAACTAAACGTTCTGTACGAACGCAACTGGACGATGCTGGTCCACGAGCAGCTGCGCCGCTTCGAGGGATCCATTGTGGCAGCCACGCGCCAAGGAGCCACTGGAGTCGGTGGCGGAGCCGGCTTCCAGGCAGCCAGCGCCAGTGCCCTGGGACACTTTGGCTACGATGCAGGCGATACCCAGATCTGGACCTTCAGTGAAGCCCTGCTCTACTCGGTCACTGTGATAACGACAATTGGTAAGTTACGCTTTCCCTTTCAGCGTGTCCCCTCCAAGGCGACGACTAAGATTTAGATTTATGTTTGATGTTCATCTTAGGGGAACGTTCAAGCAGGAGCTGGAGCTGCTTATTATGATTTGGGGCATCCTGAGGGAGGGCGGGACTGCAAACATTTACACTGCGGGCAATGAGGGCAAATAGACAACATACCGACGCCTTCGAGTGCAAACTACAGCGGCAGCAGAAGCAGACACATTGTGTATACGCCCCGTAGGCCCATTCCAAATATTTGCATATGCCGAACGATGTGAAGGGCGCGTGCGGCATGGCATGGGCTTGTTGTTACAAATTAACTGTATCTAGTGGCCATTTGCTGCGTCCGTTGTCAGGGACAGAGGAGAAGGAGGCGTAAATCAACTGTGGGAAATGATTAAGCAAGGATTAACCGTGAGAATTGTTATGCCAACAATTAAAGTGGTTGAAGATTGAAATTCAAAGCGAGCCCCGGGACATAAATTTACATTTTCTAAATCTGAATTTTTAATGTGCATCGTGGGCAAAATACTTAATTGAACGAGAATTTAAGAATTTGATTAGTCAGTGAATCCTCTTACTTATCCTAGGTATTCCTTATCATTTCGTTGACTCATAATTCTACGGTTATTGATATTCCTGGAATTGCAAAAGAATCACAATTCGCCGCTCAGGATCGTGGGGGTATATATGTATATACATATCACAGCTCGCTCGTGCTCCCCATTTTTATAAGTAAAGTAAATATTTTATCTCCATCACACACCAACACTTTCTTTCGCTGCCACAGGTCATGGCAGTCTTACACCCCGCACAGCCGCTGGAAAGCTAGCCACCATTTTCTACGCCCTCATCGGAGTGCCCCTGATGCTCATGTGCCTGTCCAGTCTGGGCACGCAGCTTGCCGAGGCATTGCAGTGCACGTACATGCGACTCTGCTGCCAGCTGCAAAAGCATCGTCAGAAGAAGCCGCCAGCTCAAAGGGGAGCAGCGTCGACAGCTACGAAAGCGTCAGCGACACCAACAGCAACGACGATGGCAGCTACAACGACAGCGACAAAACGGCGTCAGGCAGCGGCAGCGGCAGCTGGCAATGGGGTAAGTCAAACATGGCGTATGATTGATATTATTTAAGTGCATGCAACAGCTGCAGTTTATAAGAGCAGTGGCAAAGTTGACTGCAACTTCATCATGCTGACATTTTTATGGATTTTAATTCGATGGCTGGAAGGATTCGCCACCCACTCAGAACAGGAGCCGGAGCAGGAGCAGCAGCAACTGTTGCTGGTCGTCGACGTCGATCTACCAAGGAAATCAAGCTATTTGCCATTGCAAAGCAAACTTCCGACATTGTTTCGTGTGTCCAGAGTTGCAGGGCCAAAAGTTTAGCTGGCTGTTATTTTCTGGCACCAACTTTTCCCACTACTTACCAAGTGTTTTTCCTTGCTCTGGTTGTAGTTCTGCCTCCCAAACTTATCCAGAAATAAAGTTGCGACAGCGTGGATTGGTCGTAGCATTGCTCTCTGCTCTGCTCTACGCTGCACTGTTTGGCAATGTATGGTAGTCCTAATCCTAACAGGATGTGATAGGGATCTTTGAACACCCAAAGAAATGGTGGCCTTGTTGTGGCAGGGGAAGGGAGTCTGATTACAAATTCCCTAAATGCTGCGATTATGCCTTTTCTTCCCTATGCCCTTTTCCGGAACTGTTTTCTTCGATTTCTTCTTCTCCTTTTCCCCATGATTTAGTTCTCAGCGCCAGTATCCTTGGAAAATCAAACTGCATTTCGGGTTTCCTATTACGACTTTTAATTACGACACCAGAAGCCTTTTAAGTGGATCGCGGTCCCCAGATTGGGTTTCTGGGTTGTAAGCCCGAGTTCTATTAACGGCAAACTGAAAGTTTGTAATTGATTTTCGGCAAAAACAACATAACTTTTTTTGCTTTCTTTGTTGCGTATTGTGTTTGTTATACTTTTTCTGCAGAGTGCGGCGGACTGTTTTTGTTTTCCGTTCCGGTCGGGACTGAGCTTTGATTTTTCCCCAGTTTCGTTGCGTTCTATTTGCTGTGCTAACAGAGCTCCTTATCGCTGTATAGAGTATAGAAATATATATTTTTTAGGGTGCCCCGAGCCTTTTTGTTGTGTTTGCGTGTTCTGTGCATTCGTGCATAAGTTTTGTAAGTGATTTGCTGGCCTCCAGTAATGACATTTCTGCCAGAGCCCCCAGTTAGAAGTTCCAGTATTTCCATGTACACTATCAGCTTTCACTCTTTAAGGCTTTAAGAACGAATGTATTTTGCATTCACAGGTCTTTCAATTATTCGTCCCGGTCCCGGTTTTCCTTTGCAAATTTCTGTTTAATTGCCACATTATGGTCGTGTGGCAAAAACGAATGGCAAAACAGAAAAACAGAACGCTGGAAAAAAGGTCATCACAATTTGGTTAAATAAATAAATAAGTGAGTTTGCGGTCGCCAGAGCAAATTTGATCGCGATGCCAGTCGCCTGATTGTCATCTGACGACAGAGGCGCACGGCGCGGACAAACAAAAAGTTCATTTCATAACTTAACATTTTGAAAGCAAACTCTGTCGATTTTAATGAACTGCAAACTTTAGCTCGGCCCCGAATTTGGGAACCTCTTGGCCCCAGAAAACTTCATTCGACACTTTAAGAGTTGGCCAAAACTTTGGCGCCTGTTGCAGTTTGAGTTGGGTCAAATGCCTGCCGCATAAATTTAAAGTTTCCTCCTTTCAGGGCTCGTGCTAAGTAAATTGAAATGAGTGCGAGTCACTTTAATGCCACGAGGGTAAAACTTTTTCCGCCACATAAACAATTACACGCGAGTCGCTGAAAGCTACTTAAATTCTACTTATATATGTCCAATACGCTCGTATATATAGGACTCTGTTAAAGTGAAGTTGGGCCATGGAATGTCTCAATTTTTGGCCAAGTAAAAGACACAAACAACCACTACGGAACTGTAAAGTGGCATCCGGTGAACAGAATAGTTTTCAAGACTTTTTGCATTTGCCACGGAAGCCACTCGAGCCTGTCAAGTGCCACTCCTTCCGGCTTTTTTTTTGAGACTTGTTGAACAAGATTTTTGCATTTGTCAGGCTCGCTAGAACTTGGGCCTCCGATGTTCTGCTTTCGAATGCATTTAGCGACTCATTAGGGCGTAATCCCACCTGGGAAAATCACAAATGTGGATCGTTTGGAGTGCGGTGGAGTGGGGTGTTTTGGGGTGTGGGTCGCATTTTGAGGCTTTTTCGGACACAGGATATGCAGGCGTGTAAGTGAAACGATAAGACTTGAGCCGGACCTTGTGGTTTGTTCTGGGGATTCGTCCCAAGGGCTGAATTATTATCGTCATCGTGTTGGCTGCTGCCACTCTCCATTTTGGCATTTGGCTTTCGTCTTTTGCAATTATCAGCATGCGTCATGCTGTAGCCGGTCGCCGTCCAACCACAAGCCAAAGGACAGAGACGTTTCGTTTGTGTGTGTCCATCAGATTGGTCTGGCAAATCATGATGATGCCACAGAACCGCAACGAACATGATGGCTGGCATCAGCCGCAAACAGCTTTGTGGGCGGACCACGACTATGACATCAGTCTTCTGGGAAGGGGCGGGGCGTTGCGTTGCGGTGCTCTGCGGGCATACGTCATTCAGGCCTCCGAAGTCGCCAGGGACAGGGACAGGGACTGGGACAAGGCATACAAATTACGGGTTTTATTGATATTCCATCAAAACCGAAAACCGACTTGAAAGGCAGCCGCAATGAACACTTGCACAATCAAGGGAACAATATCCATTGCCTGATTACTATGCCACTCGGCCTTATTTTACTCCGATGAATACGGACAATTAATAAAGCCATGTCCCACCCAATTACAGGCCAATTGCAGGAGCTGCAAATACGATGCGGCCAACACGGAGACGAGTCTCAACGAGAGCTACGAATACGGGCAAGGACAGGCGGCGGCCAGGGGCAAGCTGCCCCCGGATAAGGGAGAAGGTAAGTGAAGGACTCAACGTATGCAAAGTGTACTGTCAGCTTAACAATTGGCCTGTCGTTAATCATCTTTTAACACATTCGCTCCTGTTTGCACTCCTTTCGGTCACCAGATGCCTGTCAATTGTTGCACAACTTGAATCAGCAGCAGCAGATGGCACAGCAGCAGCAGCAGCATTTTTACCAGCCACAGCAGCAGCAGCAGCAGCAGCATCCGGATGTCATGCTAATGACAACAACAACAACGGGTAGCGCAATGTTGAAATATGCACCGCAACAACAGCAGCAGCAGCAGCAACAGCAGCAGCAGCAGCAATCATCGACAGCGACTCTACCGCGGCAACATCACCAACATCTACATCCCCAGCAGCAACTGCAACAGAATTTTGTCGCCGTGCCGAGCAGCATGCTGCGGTCAATGCCTCTGACTATGCCGCCCAATTGTTATGGGCCAGCCACCGCCACGATTTACTTTCCATTTGCACCGTCTGCAGCGGGCAGTCCACAGCACTCGCAGCATCTGGTTGGGACGGCAGAGCCGGCCAACGGGCCTGGCTCTGGGCCTGGTCTTGGCCAGCAGCCGCTGGTCAAGTATCACACGATTCACTTGCAGCCTGCCTCCGCGAAGCACCGACTGCTGGCACCGGCTCGGGACGAGCCACCCATTGCGGGCCAACGGGCTGAATCAACGGTCACACTGGAGGGCATAACATTGCCACCGCCGCCTGCCTACCAAACAGCCAGCATTCATGGTGAGTATTGTTCCATTCTTATAGCTCCATGGTTTACGCTTTGCGGTTTACGGTTTACGGTTTACCTCAATATGCTTCGATACCGCCGGAATAGGCTGGAGAACGGCTAATGAGCGATAATGATAGTCGGGCGGAAAATTTGCATAAATCGAACAATGAAAACTGAATTTAATTGGATCAACAATTTGTGCCAGAGCCGTGCACATGGCAATGGAAAACCCGCAAAATGTTTTTCCTGACAGCTTTTAGCCCTAACCTGAGACCAGAAACAAACCGAACTGTAATCAATCAATCATACGCCCAGTTGTCCCCAGCAATGCTGTGCACTTTTGCCCCTCTACATATCCCTCCCTGGGCTCATTTACGCGTTCAATTATATAACAATTTGTTGCCAGCATCATCATCAGTAGCAGCAGCCACAGGAGCAGCAGCAGCAGCAGCAGCAGCAGCAGCAGCGTGTTAAAATGACAGACTTAAGCAGACATACTTTACCCACTGTGGCATTAAAAGTTTTCAACTTAAGCCGCTTGACACGCCGAGAAAAGACGGCGACAAGGACAACATGCACTTGAGGCAACTTTCGACATGTGCGACAGTTTTATTGACGATAATGATGACTTGGCACTTGGCATAAAGACGATGACGACGACAGCAGCTACGACAACAATGCCAACGACTGTAGAGTGAAGGGGGGGGGTTGTCCACGGTCTGCTCGTCTTCAGCTTGTGCGACGCATGCAAAACTCATTAAAGTTAACAGCTCTTGTTGTTGGTCCTGTTCGTGTGCCACTCGCTGCGGCACGTGACGCTGTTGGGCAAGCACTCCTCCTCGGAGAATACCGTTTAATTCCGCAACAAATTGCAGCGTGAGATTCGGCCATTTGTCAACGGAGTGTTCCATTGATTCCATTATGCATGTTAATTGTCCTCAACTGGCACCCGGACACAGATCAAAAGGGATAGCCATCCCCAGAGCACAGTGCATCCTGCCGCCCCCTCCCGACACCGACACCAGCACCCGCTGCAACAGCAACACCAACGCCAACAACGACCCTCCGTGGCAGACCACACCATTAAAGCACTGCCAAAGTTGCTGCAGCCATGCCACATGACCAAAGTCACTTTCAGGCGCCTCGTTCCATGCACTCTAATGAATCTTTGTGAGCGTACTAGTGTGGCACCCTTCCTAGCATGGTGGGTGGTGTGGGTGTGTGTGTACGTGTGGGGGCCAGAGTGCTGCGAGTGCCATCCAAGTTAAAGTAAATATTTTCAAATTGGCCATGTCCGGACCCGAGACCGCATCGCGTTTTGCCAGCGTCCTGCTGACAGATCCACAGTGAAAGATGTCCCAAGGGTTCCTTCCGTTCGTTCGCTCCTTGGTGCCAAATGGGAGCCAGGCACAGTGGTTTCCATTTCCTTGAAGGAGCAACGTGGCAATGCGGTTGTGGCAATGAATCTGCTCAGAGAGAATTTGCCAGAGAGCCTTGGAAACACAATTTTCCTTATAGCCCAGAAATTATTCCATTTGGTTGTGCGTATTTATCGAATGCATGGACTGCCATTGGAAGTTCATGCCTCCGATGATTGCCCCACTGTATGCACCGCCAGATGTTAATATAGCCTCTGACATCCTGCCTGCCACTGCCACTGCCACTACCAGCCGCTAATGAAAGTCAACGCCAAACTTTTGGCATCCAAAACCGACGGCCACATTGTTGCATTGTTCGGCGAACTTTGCAAATGCAAAGCAAATAATTTTTGTTGTGCATCCTCGTTGTGCCTCCGCTAACTGCAGCTAAGCTTGCACCATCGCATCTGCCACTCCCACTCCCACTCCCTTTCCCCACTCCCAATGCCACTCCCAATGCCACTTCCAGTGGGCGAAACTGCCGGCTAACGGGGTTAACCGTGTGTGGCAGTTGTCGGAAGTTGCTTTGCCAATTTGTGCTCCAACTTTTTGGCCAGCTTTGTGTGGAGCTTTATATATTTTGGTTAATTCTAATGATATTGTTCCCTCTGTGTGCCCCGAATCAAATTTAAATGTGTTTAATTTAGCTTTAATTGTAATCCCTGCAGCTGTGCGTCGTGGAAAGTTCGTGACCAAGCCGTTGCCGCACGAGATCAATGCTCTGATGGACTCTGGAACCGCTTCGGGAGCGGTGGATTTATCCAGCAGGCATGATTTATTGCCACATGCATTCACAACGGCAGCAACAAGCACCGCAGCAGCTGCAGCGGCGTCAGGAGCCTCCTCTCCTGCATTGTTGACCTACACGGCAGCAGCAACGGCGGCGACGAGCCCACAACTGTCAGGCGGCATTAAAACTGCCACAGGAGGTGGAGGTGGGCCCGCAACAATGTCCGATAACAGTTTTATAGCCGCAGGTGTCTGTGGCATGGCTGCACCAGCACCAGCACCAGCATCAGCAGCAGCAGGAACTGCAACAACACCATCAACAACCTCGAGTGCTGCGGGCACATTGTCGACCCTGCTCTGCTCTAGCGCCACTGGAAACGTGGACATCATGGAGGACGAGGATGAGCAGGAGCGAGAGCGCCTGAGGTATGTATCACGTGGCAGACCGCTGGTATAATGGCCACATAAATGAGTTGGTCAGAGGTTAAGTGCCGCTGTCGCCAGCCGGAAATAGGCTTTGGCTAATTCCTAAATCGCTTCTGCTGTACAAATTTAAGCACTCCTTCAAGGCCTCTCGTAGGCCGACTCTTTGCTCTGTTGCATCCACCAATCGGAAGCGAAATGTTGTGGCAAGCTGGTAATTTAATTCCGTAAACAAACTTTTCGTGTGCCAGCAACGCTTTAAATCAACACTTCAGAGCCAGAACGCGGCACGGTGCACCTCATCCCTGCTTCCGCTTCCCTTTCCGTCTCTGCGCTGTGGTGGCTGTGGGGGTGCCGAGAACCTCGGCTCGGATGATGGTGCTCTCCTTCGCTCTTTTGAGCGTGCATTTTGAGGATTTTATTTAATAACAACCAGCGGGAGGAGCGTCAGCTGGTAATTAATTTTGGCAGTGAACCTGTGCCCGCGGCATTGCAGATGCGACTACTCCAGTTTCAGCTCTGTCTGTAATTAATTGTAAGCCGAGCAGCGCACTCACTCGCACTGAAGCGGGTTAATTAATCTCGACCGGATTGGCTTACCCAGCCCCCCCCCCCGATTTGTGATGTAATTCCTATTGAATCCCGTTTGCTGTCAAATTCAAAATACATGCATGTTTACCGGCCGGAAAGGCCACAAAGCCGTCTCCCCTTCGGGTGCGCCTTCTGGCAGGAGTTGAAGTGCAGCTCGAGCAAGTGTTTGGCATAGAGGAGGCCAGACCAATAAATGTTTGGCTAAATTGATTCGAAAAAGTAAACTCCAGAGGCCGAGTGCAGCTTTTCGAGTGTTCTCTGAGACTGTTGCTTTAACAGATTATTGGATTGACAGTCAGACTGGAATCAAATTCAGTTTGGCATCCGCCCATTGAATGTGGGCTAACTTGGGCAAGTTGCTGCCAAAAATAAATGCTGATATTTTTCCAAGGAAAAGGCTACTTGTGTGGCCCTCATGGCAATACGTACACGCCGTGTGTGCCCAATGTTGCACGTATAGAGGACGTTTTATGCCTTATTGATTGGCCCCGTCCAGGCAAACGTCTTTTGCCCAGGATTCCGGCTTTTTACGGCTTGAGGATGGCTTGGGGATTGTTTTTTATACCTAATTGATTTATTTTATGGTCAGCTGCAGCGTAAAAATAATATATATATTTCCTACCATTTTTTATTTCGTTTCCTCGCCAACAGCAACTGCCCGCATGGGACGCCCTCACGGGTGCCGCTGATAGCCAGCCCCCTGAGTGTGCCCCAGGACTCGGGCGAAAGGTCTGGAGGCAGTGGGGGCAGTGGCTCGAGGGGCCTGTTGAATGCCACGGCAGCCTCGTTCCACCGCCACACGATGCAGCCACTGAACCGCAAGAAGATGCTGCTCACGCGTCGCTGCCAGCGGCATGCCACGGCCGCCCTCTACGATGGCACGGCCACCACTACGGAGACCTCCGACGACGAGGAGTACATGCAGCAGGGCAGCGGCAGCGAGCAGTTCGTGCTGCGGAAGCTGCGCTACCACAGCGAGTCCGAGGACGGGCTCGACGAGGAGACGGAGGATGAGTGCGAGGAGCGGCCACACCGGGTGCCCATTAGTCTGGTGCTGCTCATCCTCATGTGCTACATCAGTGCAGGCACCGTGATCTTCGCACTTTGGGAGGACTGGTCCCTGGTGGACGGGGCCTACTTCTGCTTCGTGACGCTCTCGACGATCGGCTACGGGGATTTCGTGCCCGCCCGCAGCTTCAACGGACCAGCGCTTCAGCTGTACGCCTGCTGCGCCTACCTCTTGCTCGGCCTCGTCCTGGTGGCCATGTCCTTTAGCATCCTCGAAACGCAGCTGATGTGGAAGTGCAGGAGGATAGCGGTGCGACTGAAGCTGGCCCGAACCGATTGAAACTGAGCTCCCACACTGGACCCAAAATGCTGCTCCAATCACTAATTAATAGCAATTCCCATGGTACTCTACCAGCTGCTTGTGCTTGAACCATTGTAGGATAAGTTTACTGTACAATTGGGCATCAACTAGCCCCGTCTCTGTGTAAATGTAAATTCGTCTGCCTAGAAAAATAATGCGTACTCGTATGTTGTCTGAGATTCAAATGAATTTTTGTAAATAAATAAATGGAATTTTGCAAATTTGGAACTGTCTTCCCTGCGCCCTCGTAGGTAACTCAATACCTTCTTGAGGACACTGCTTGCATGCGAAATAGCTATTCCGGATAGCTGGCTAGGCATTTGTCACAATATGACGCTACCTGGACATCTCTTGGACTCTTGAGGAAACAAAGTTGACAAAGTTTTCCGTATTCGGCTAGCGCCTCGGCATAATGAGTAACGTAACCTAATCACATTAACATAAAGTACTTTATTGCCCTATATTGGACCGTTTCGATGTCATAAAAAGCAAGGGCAAAATGACATTTATATTTATCTTAATTTGCCCCAAGAAACTCGAAATGTGGCATCAAGAAGGAAGAAAGAATAATAATACTCATAATACCTGCGCTTATCCCCCGTGAATGTCAGGCGAAAAGCATCAAGTTTCAAGCTAAATTTCCAACACAAACACTGGGCAAAGGGGAAAAACATTTTCTCCAGGAAAAACAATCCACCATACACACGTACTCGTAGGGCCCTCTCGAACTTGAAACGTTCATCATCTTTCCAAGGCATTGGGCGCATACAAAGTGTGTTTAGAGTGGCGCATAAATTTCAAAGTGCCACGCATCATCAAAATCAAATGCCAGCCGCAGCCACCCCAGAGCCCCAGCCCCAGCCCCAGCTCCCGATCCGTTCAGACCAAAAGTCAGTTAAGGACCTTAGCTCAGCCCCAATCCCATCACAATCCCCAAAACAACCAAGTCACAATGTCAGAGCCTGCCGAGGAAGGCGACTTGTCAGCAGCCATGGAGTGGAGGAAGATGTAGCACAAAATCAATTGATATGACATCAAATTGAATTTATAATTCTTTCACATTTTTCCCCCGAAATTCAGGGAACGTTTAGCCGGCGACTTGTTTATGTTGGTATCTCAATTGCCTTTGATGCTTCCGGCTCACGAATTTACGCACGTTTTCCCCAGAAAGCTCTGGACAGGACAAGGATAGGCCCCTAAGGCCCAAGGGTCCGCCATGTCTATTCACGCTTCATTGGGTGTATGTAAATGGCATTATCAGACATAGTCAGGGGGATTATAAACGGGGGTATACTCCAGTTTAATCGAAGATTGCAGCCGGGTATACCAATGAAGATGAAGGATCGATCCGGTTATTACCTTAAGGAATATTCAGTTAACTTCAAAATTTATATTATTATCAAATTGGTTACAAACTTGGCTCGAACTGGAAGTTAACAAGATTATTTTGATGGAGTTCCACAGTCTTTAGCTGGAACTTAAATGCATCGAAAAAGGGTATTACCTACTTCGACTGGTCCTAGTTTATTTCAGCCTATTCACGGCCATTCATGTGAATTCTGTGTGAATAAATTAGCTCCATTCGTATTGAATTACAATGAACAAGTAGCATTTCAATTGAATTTGCCTAAATAATTTTATTGTTTGCCGAGTGTACTCGTAAGTGAAGTATTTGTAGATATGTAGATTTGTGAGGCATCTGCTGGCCCCATTTGGAGGGAGACTTATCACCAGAGCCAGTGTCCGTGCCACAATCACATTTAGTTCCGTTTCATTGGCCGCTGGGGACTCGTGCTGGCAATGGAGCTAATATCGGATACATTATCCCCGCCGAGGCGCCTACTCCTCTCATCCAGATCGACCACGTGGATGTCGAAGGAGTTTGGATTGCCCGCCTGCACACCATCTGAGATATGGCCTCGCTCCTTCCGCTCCACGGAGAAGGGAGTGCGTGAGGATGTAGCCGTAGCTAAGGGTGCTGATTTCTTGAGGAGAGTGACAGCGGGAGCTGGAGCAGTTGTCCCTAGTTTGCTTGGGCACAAGGGCAGCTCTCGTGACCGATTGCTAGCCAGCTGAGAAAGGGCAGTTTTAGTAGGAGCTGCAGCTGGTGCTGGGGCTGGTGGCGGCGCTGGCAAGGACTTCCTGCTGATCTTCAGCTCGGGCGCCGTGTAAGATCTGACCTTATTGGCTGCCAAGGCCCGGGCGGCCACGGATTTCAGCGGAGGCCGCCAGGTGGGTTTGATTCTCGGACGCTCGCGTTCGCTGATCTCTTCGCTGATCTGGTTGAGCAGCTCCAGCAAGGTGCTCGACTTCTCATCCTCGAACTCGATGCGGATGGGTGACTCACGACCCGAGGAACAGCCTGGATTGAGCATGATAAGCCTGTAGGGGAACACCTTGAAATACGAGACCCACAACATATGATTAGACCCACCTTTTGGCCTCTTCGATGGCCCTGCTTAGATTTTGCAGGTTCTTGCGCTCGTTCTTGGTGCAGCGTCCGATCTGGGAGTTTGGCAACGTGCCCTGGAGCACCACGTTCCACTTGTGAGCGGTGGACTGGAGCAGCACTGTGCGCGCCACTCGCTGGAATCTCTCACGGGCCGTCTCCTTGGCTGGCCTGGAGGGTATGCTCTCGACCTTGATTTCCCGCATGTCGCCTTCGCCGTTGACATTGCAGAAAGCATCCCCGCAAGATTCCCCGCTTGTTTGAACCGGAGCCACCTGGAAGCCCTTCATCAGGCGACGCTCCCAGACCTTGATGCGTCGGGGTCGTGGTTCTGCAAAAGCTCCGCACATGAGAGATCAAAGAAGGACCCAGCAAGGCAGGGAAATCCGAGCTTCTACTTACGCCGCTCCTTTTTGTTCGCCGAGGACACGTCCATTCCGCTGTTCTCGAATATCTCCAGCATTTCATATCGCATCGTGTTGATTTCGCTCTTCACCTCGTTGATGTCATCCTCGGAGACAGGATTCTGTTCAAACTTGCGGTGCATAGCCGCCACATAGCGCCACACCAGGGAGCGCATGATGGTGTCGTACTTGTTGAACTCCTCCTGCTCCTGTCGCTTCTGCTGGGAGGGGGGCCAAGAAATCGAAAATCGAATCAGAATGTGCATCGCAGCCACTGAAAGCCATTCCAAGAACTACCTTTGAGCGCTGCCGATCGATGGCCTTGCTGGACTTGCGAAACAGCCTAATGAGCCACTTCACCGAGGGCAGCACATTGAAGGGCGGCGGCAGGGTGGCGCTGTCCTCGAAATAGCTCATCCACAGCTTGGTGCGGGCGAACTTCCACTCGGTGTCCGAGTGCTCCTGCAAACACCAGACCAAACTATGCTGAACGGGATGCGGAGTGGGAGCGGCGCAGCTACTTACATCAATCATGGCATACGAATTGGACATCATGGCGATGAGCAGATTCAGGAGCACAATCACATTGATGACGCTATACGAGCCGAACATGAGGAGGCCCCAGAAGCGGGTGTAGGACTTGATGCCGCTCAGCTCGAAGTCGTCCAGGCCCACCATGCCAAAGCTGGCCCAGAACAAGGACTGCGAGGACTCGAACAGGCTGACACATGAAACGAAAGGAAAGGTAGGACGTTGAGAAAGCGGTAGTAGACTATGGGATGCTCACGAAACAGGGATCTTAAACGAAGAGGAGAAGAGAAAACAATGATGATAGGGAAGATTAAGAGTATTTAAAAATAGTTTCGATTGGTCTTATAGCCTCTGAAATTCAGGAGTAATGTGGTAATTCCATCTTCCTGTTGCATGAAACCGATGTACTCTTGGCCACGAAGAGTACCGACCATAATTAGCTGAATGAATGGACAAGCGTATGAAGGCTGGCCGGCTAATTGGCTTGGTGACTGGACTTACTTGCCAAAGCGGCGCCACTTCATGCAGGAGTCGCCGTGAGAGCCCCAGTCCGCCTCGCCGCCCGGCAGGACATAGCACTTGCTCTTCTCCAGGGCCGCAAAGTACCAGAGCAGCTGATTGAGGCCACAGGCGAAGGCAAACAGCACCAGGGAGTAGATGAAGAAGAACTTGACAATGTCGATGACCATGCGGCCCAGCGAGATCTGCAGCGGGCCCAAATGGGGATTGATGCTGAACAGGTGCACCAGCTTCAGGGCGGAGAAGACATTGGCGGCGGCAAAGAGGCCCTCGGCTATGAGCTGCGGATCGAAGTCGTGCCACTTCTCGCGCGGAATGTACGCCATCTGTGGATCCCTGGCTATTTCCGTGGCCTGCTGGATGTAGGCGAAGGCCCTGCGAGTGAAATCAAAGCAGTTAGCTAAATTGGGAAGTTCTGGGCGGACTGGGACTCACCTCAGACACATGACACTCACATAGAGGGTGTTGCGTAGGAAGTCGATAAAGTTCCACATGTTGCGAAGGTAGTTCTTCATGCCCACAGCGAATATCTCCTGCACTTCCTCCCACATAAAACCCGCCACGTATAGGACCACGACCAGTTCCAGCTTGCTGGGCACCTGACCCCGCTGACGCAGCTCCTGCTCCACCAGATCCGCCTTCATCCGCGTCGTGCCGAAGATGCGCACAAAGTCATCGTCCGCTCTCTGCGAGACCAGGATGAGGATGACTGAAAGGCAAACAGCAATGAGCGAGCGTCCAGGCCAATGAATCTATATTAATTTTAGCTCCTGCTGTTTGCTTTGGACAATTGCCAGGGCCAGGGCCAGGGCCAGGACGCACAATCGAAGTACTCACAAAGAAAGAACAAATACGAGGAGGCATGGATGAGAAACTTCATAAATGGCTTCCGCATCAGCCGTCCCGTCCGGCAGTTGGGGGCAAACATGTAGATAAAACAGTACACAGGAAAGAGCACGGCCACCTGTGCGATGCAGATGATTTTATCCACGATGCTCTTGCGCCGGAACCCTGGCAACCCGTCGTACCAAATGGAGGAGAGCAATTGCTGGATATTTGAGTGGGCCACAAACTGCCAAAGGGAACAAAGAAGGTTAGTGCTCACCCAATCTGCAAACTGTATAGCGACCAACCTTCTTCTGCTTGTAGGATATGGCCTGGACGAGACGTGTCAGACTCATGCGGTCCCCTGGCTCGTAGCTGGACATCTGCGGATCGTAGTTGAGGATGATGGCCAGCTCGTTGGAGGTACGCGTCTGGTCAAGCAGATCCACCGCAAAGTTCTGGCACTGCCGCCGCAGCTCCATGTACTCCGCCTTGCACTCCTGCTCTGTCAGCGCTAGGTTCCGCAGATCCCAGGAGAGCTGAAAGGCGGTCAGGATGGGATCGTTAGAGGTGAGGCAGATCAGCGAGGGGCTGCACAGGGCCCGATATATGTTGACCCGCGACAGGGAGTGCCTCAGCGAGTCCTCGCCCATGAGGCGCATGCACTCCTCACAGCCACAACTATTGGGAGGACAAAAATGTTATACACAATCCCACAGAAAGTGCCTCTAACGTACCGAATGTCGTGGGGCACTGGCACAGCCGCTCCCCGATCCAAGAGAATGCGCAGTATCTCAAAGTTGTTCTTGTGAGCCGCCAGCATCAGGGGCGTGATATCCGGGGCAAACATAGCCGTATTGATGTCCACCTTCTGCCAGCTCTGCGGTGAGAAATGGTTGCTAAGTGGTTAGATCGCAAGGTATCCATTCTTGCAGAGAAATCAAGTTTTTTTTTGGTTCAGAGAATATAGTGTGACCTTCTTTTAGAATAGTTCTAGGGTTGTCATATTCCCCAAAAGACATAATTAATATGGCGGTTATTTCAAACATTTTGAAGAATATCAATTAGGTTTATCAGAATCAGAAATATCAACGTAAAGATTAGGAACAGATATAATACGACAATAGATGTTTGGGATAGAACTATATAATACAATTATATTGTAGATGATTTCGGAAATGATTCATAATCTGCGCCGCACTGTTCTGATCAAAACATCCTTTCCATGGGTATAAACAACAGGAAATGAAATTATCAAATTGCTCATCTCCATTGAGACTGTCAATTTCAATCAGAAACGAAACTCTCGATTTCTGCGTAAGTCCCTGGACAACAACTGTTGTTGAGAAACTTCCGAGAACTGTCGAGTCGTGTCGCTTCATTTGAGGATGGCATTAAGCCTGTTAAACGTTTTATTGCATATGCGTTACAACAGTAATTTTCACGCTCCAATAGCGCCCAATGGTTGCCTAATGAAGCGTGCTCGTGTGCATAAATATGAGCCGGCAGAACCAGGACTTGGGGGCCCAGACAACTCCATTTGGATGGAGCATAAACGAAAAGGAGGCGGCAGTGGGAGCCATTGGCCGCTTATCGTGCACTCCCAATCACTTGAGCCTGGAGAAGATGTCGGTACGTGATCCGAGTGTGGGTCGGCGACACACGGAAACTGATTAAAATCGTGTTAGCCCCGTTTTACTGTGCCTAAGCTGGCACCCACTCTGGCTAGGGGTCCCGTTCCGACCGCAAATTAGCTGAGCACAGCAGTCGAGCAGGGGATGACTTACATATTGCTCGCCCTCCTTGTAGATGAGCTCCTCGTGCTCGAGCAGCAACTCCACGGCCTCGACAAACTCCGCATTGATGGCATGCAGCAGGGCGTCCTTTGTCTCCACTCCCATGACGACGAGCAGTTCCACCATCTCGAGATTCTCGTTGTCGATGGCCAGAGTGAGGGCTCTCCGGCCCAGTGGATCCATGCAGTTGATGTTGATGTGGTGATGGCGCAGCGCCTTCTGAAGGATTCTGAATGAGAATAGATATCCCGTTTTCAGTTATTGAAAATTACATTGAAGGGGGAGGGGAGTGGCTAATAAAGGAAATTTCGGCCTCCTGCCAAAATAAATATGGAAAAAACCTCTTCCTCTTTTTTCGCTTCCCACCATTTTTAAATTTTTTTTCTTTTCGTTGCAAAGTTGAAGCCAAAATTTCTAATTAGCACGGCCCTGAGGCTGAGCTCTCGACATTGGTCCAGGAACAAAAATAAACTTTGCCAATCAATGGAGTACCAAAAAATCAGCTCAGTTCCCATCAGCTCTGGGCGGGCCCCAGGGCAAAGAACCAGCGAAGGAATCGATATGGGTATGTGGAAATTCAGTCCCTCCCATTTCCATTCAAAGTTTGCCGCCGACACTGTTGGCAGAGACCATTTTTCCGAAATCGAAATCGAAGTTAGCCACGATTCTGGACTGTCAAAATTTGAGTCTACCCTTCAGCCTGTGGAGACGAAAATTTTCAGTTTACGTTCGTTTGTCAACATAAATTGTTGTAAAAAATTCAGAGGAACTAAAAAAGAAAATTAATTTCTACGAAATTAAAAAAAAAAACACCCTTTTGCGATTAAATTAGTTGTAAAACATTTTTCCAAATTGACTTAAGATGGAAGTGGACGAGGGTAAAGAACTAGTCATTAGGATGACCCAGAAGAACAAGGGTAAGCTACAGGCAAGGACAGCAGTGGGTGCCCAGGCTCGCCTCACCCACAGTCTCATCTTCCATTCCAAACAGAGACGCAGACCTCGACCGCGAAGCCGGGCCCCATCAACTGGCTCCCCCAGGTAGCAGCCTATCCGACTGTGAGTCCGCGCCACACTGCTCAGCCCTTGGGGCCTATCCAGGCATTCATGCCCCGTCAATCATCGTCGTCGAGCCAGTTTTACATGCACCGCGAGCAGGAGCTCTACCGCCGGGCCTGCTACTTGAAGGGACTCCGTCTGGGATGCTTGCAGCTGCGCGAGCACTTTTTGACGGGGCCATCCGATAAGGAGGAACTTCCGCCATCCTACCGCTACACTCTAGAGGAGATGAAGAGCCTCAATCCCTATCGTTTAGACAATTACGAAAATTAAACCGATACTCGACATCTCCATACAGAAGCACACCACAACCACACAGCCATACCACGCTTGACCAGAGATCAGCGCACCACAGCACACGTATGCTGGCACTACACACAGCAAACTTTGCTATTTCGCTGTCAACCAATGCCAAATAGAAAATGCATAGTTTCCCTTTCGATTAAATAATAATAATAATAATAATAATGACAACCAATTCAATTAATCGATAGGAATCTGAGTGTGGCAGCCCTGGCTGACAGGAGCACAACAAATATTTTCACACGCTTCTCGTTTTTTAGTTTTTTATTGAATTGAATAATATGCGATTCTCGGACCTTCATAAAGGTGTGGGGATCTGCATCTGGAGGTAGACCCTGAAGTAGGAGCAACGAAAATTGACCAGGACGAGGGCTTCCAGGAGTACGTTCCCAGAGGCTGGCCCATCAAGTAGAGAGGATCACGCCTTTAAAATAACATTCATTGAATACATTGGGAGAAACGACATTAATTGTGAATGTAATAATGCTGTAAACGAACAAGCGTACATACTTATGAATGCATGTATGTACATATGTGCTGGAACCCCATAGTATTACTTTTTAAGTGGCATGTAACATACAAGTTAGGTAACCGTTTGAGGCCCTCAGGCAGGCGGCTATGCAAATAATTGAAGCCACCCCGCTATGCCTCAGCGGCAGCAATTGATGCGATTTATGTTGCCCCACTCACATGGCCCGCCCTGCCCGGTCGACACCTGTTATACCCACGGCAAGAGCAGCTATCGAGCGGGCGATACCTCCCATGGAGAATAGCGGTTTGAAAGAGAGAAAACGGGGCTAATATTCCTATGGAATACCCTGTAGGAGGCATAAAAGCGAGCTGCTCACCTGCGTACATTCGGCATATCGCCGCGCTCCACAGCCAGCAGGAATTTCTTCTCCTCAAGCAGCAAAGGTTGCGGTAATCCCAGTGGAATACAGCAGCCGCCCACCATTGTTGTGGGGGCTGGAGTGCGGCTGCTCCCACTGCGTGTGGCGCCTCCAGACGATACCTGGCATATTTTAAACAGATACAGGTGTGAGTGCGGAGGGTAAGTAGGGTAGGTGCTGTTCGTGTGCGTGCGTGCAAACGGAATTGCAAATAAATAAAAAATAAACACACTTGTACAAGAAAATTAAGTGCAAAGTGGCGGCTGCTCGGCGGCTGATTGTCTCTGGCTCGAGAGTCGGCCGACTAAATGGCATGGAAATGAAATGCGCCATTTCCGACATTTAAGCTTAGCGCCTACTAATGCCAAGGCGACTTTAAAAGGCGACTGGCAGGCAGTAGTATTTGATCTGCTGCTGGTACTTACACCTGTCGGCAGCTTCTTCTTCATTCGACCCATGCTGGATCGGTCTCTCTGTCTTTCTTTCTGTGTGATTTTTGGCTTATAATTCACTTAACAAAAAGCTGATTGTAATTAATATTCCATACGGTGCATGTGTGCAGCCTGAATGTTTTCTGTCGTCGGCAAAGTTCCAGATCCGAGACTGCAGCTCCAGCCAAATGTCAGGGGGCTTACCACACAGCCATTCAGAGCTAAATACATATATTTAAATACACAATGGCTAAGCCAAAAAACTCCAGCACTAAGCCCCGGCAAATGCAACTTTCAAGTTGATTTTGCCTTTATAGTTATGTCCGACTGTGTCGGGCATGTGTGTGTGTCCCTGTCCGAGGGTTTTTGTCTTGGTTTATGGTTTCTGGTTTCTGGTTGCTGGCAAAAAGTTTCGATTTAAGCTGTTTATAATGTTTTTCTCGTTGGCCGCCTCGACTAAGCCCTTTTTGAGTTCGGCACTGCAACTTTTCAGGAATTTGCAAACTTAATTACAAAACTCTCCGGATCAGATCGGACTCCGCACTCGTCGTGCCCCCGACAGCATCAATCGCGGAACTACTCGGAAGAGCAAACATCAGAATGTATTTCAGCTAAGAACTTATTTCACTCATTTCCAGAAGAGGTACACACAAATTATTATTATTTTTCCTACAAGCGGAATTATTTTCATTTGCTTTCATTGAAATTTTCTCACTCTCGACGATTTTCTCTTGCATTTCCCGCTGCTGTAATTTTTATTGATATTTCTTTTGGCTTTCATTTGATTGTTTACAGCCCCTTCAATCGGTTGGCCATTAGAAATAATTTCTATAATTCATTGTCGGATTTTCCCCCACTTCCTGTTCCCTCCTGCCATCTCGCGATCACAGCGAAATGAATGTTTAATGAGGCTTTTTCCGTCAGAGCGAAAATAAAGTGTTTCCAATGCCGCAATCGGAAAAAATGCCATTCGCACTACATGTTTTTGCTTTAAAATGTTCAGACGCATTTAAAAGTGCTTGTAGTCCGGTCCGCATAAAAAATACGCATACGCGTTGCATATTCCGCCGGACTTAAGGCAGCAGGAAAAAAGCACTGACCCGTCCCGACCCGACCCGACCCGATCGAGAGGGCTGTGGCACAAAAACACTTCCCTTCCTGTGCGGTCTACCATTGTGTACAGCGGACAAAGAGGGAATTGTTTAATTAACTTGATAGAAATATAAGTGCGTAGGGTGGCGTTTGGCGCTTAACAGATAAATACGAGTATACATTTATATTCGGACATAAAAGTGTCGCCATAAATTTGGTTTTATCATGCCAGTTGATGGAAGGAAGGGTAGGAAAAAATACACAGCGTTTAAATTTGGATTAATAGTGGTTCGCTTTTAAGGATATATAAATACAGATGTGTCAGATCCGTTGAGGCAGAGTGTTGAGTGGAAATTTACTAATAAAGAAATACAAAAAATAAACTAATATCTGGAGACTAAGTGCTAATCTTGATTGTGGCCAAGTTCCACGGACAACTCTCAGTGGGAGGAAGCCCTGGCCTAACTTTGCAACCATTCCCGAACGGAAGGAGCACAATGAATGCCACTGTCACCTCTCCCCCCCAGATCCTATCCTTCGGGCAGTGCGATATAGCCACATAATTCAGTTGGCTTCTCGGACTGCTCTTAAGCCACTTACTTCTTGCATTCCAGCGCATAAAAACGTGTGCAATTGTTCAGCACGGTCGTACAATGGACGCTGGGGTTTCATACGTAGGAGTATACGAATGTGCCGCGGCTTAGTCAGGGTACTCTGAATATGAATTTATATATTTTATAACAATCGCTCGTTGCGTACGTTCAGGCAAAGCGCACTGCTCGTTCTTTATGCTCTTTGTGTACGAGTGTAATATTTTGTATTAGTATTCCATTTTTGGGGACGAACACGGCGGGGCACAGCGCGACAATGTCGAGACGGGAACCGCTACCGAGAACGTGCCACTTGCGGAATTCACACGCTGCAACTGCCACATGGAAATTTATACCTTTCCCGAGGGCCAGGCCGGGCAGCGGCGTTGTGGCTAATTTAATTAGACTAAAACGTCAAATATTTGTCAGCGCATGGATACACCTGGAGGTTGTCCACACCAGTAGCAGGCCAGCCCCCTGTCCGCTGTTTTTATGAATTGCAGAACTGTTCAACAGTCGTCGCTGCCCCTTGTTGGGGGTCGCATGGCTATCAACAAGTTTTTGCCTTTTGGTGGCATGGCTCTCTAAGGGGATTAGGACCCAAACATGTGGAAAGTTGCGGTCAATGACTAGGACAGGGGCGCGCGACTGTTGCCAATTGAATTATAACTAATTTTGCTGTGATTTGATTTGTGCTGCGTTGTCCATAAATTTCATTTTGTTCCCCCATCTAATGTTTATAATTTAATTTTGAAAAATACAATGTTTTTAGTTTTATATAAATTTGTTTTCGTGCCACACTGTTTTTGTTTCCTATTGCATTTTGCCCAATTTGATTTGAAAAATACTTTACGCCGCAGTGCACTGTTGAAAAAACCTATAATGACATCATAGGTTTTCACTTTATGGTCCCTTAAATTCTCATTACTAATTTACTCTGTATTAGAGTCATTTGCCAAATATTAATAGAAGTATGTGTTTTTTTTTATTTTACATGATTTCATTTAGTGTTTTTAATTAATTTCTTTGCATTTTATTTGTCATATCTACTGCCAAAAACTTTTGATTTGCCACAAACTTTCAATTTGGGTTTCATTCGCACATTTCACTGGACTGCACTGCTCCGAGTCCATTTGTAAATTGCTGGACAGAGCACACAGCCGGTGGGTGTGGCTCGTATGCGTTTATGTCTCTGGCAGAGTGCGCCGCTTGACAGGCGTAAACAGTACCAGCAACAGGACCAAAAGCCAGACCACCACCAACATAAGCTAAACAAAACGTAAGCTCTGTCTGCATCCGGTATGAGCAGTAAAAACAAGCCAAATTAAATCAAAAATCTCAAACTGGATTTTGATGAGATATTCGTACAAAGAAACAGGACCAAACGACGGAAGGGGAATGGCAGGGGTAAGAGCGAACAATCGGAGCAGCTACCAGCGTCATATGGAGTCGGGGTTGGGGCAGGAGCTTCGCATGACTGCACGAAAACATGGAAAGCCAAACAAACAAATATCTGCAGTGGCGCTGGTGCGGGTGCGGTGCCAGACTTTCCTGCCACAGGCCAACTCATTTAGTGGCAGGTGGGTTGCCATGACTGTGTCTTTTATCAAACTGCATGTGGTTGCCAAAGCGATGGACCTCAGGTGGAGAGGAGGAATGGATCTGGAAAAAGATACTCGTAAATGTGTGTTGGAATGGCATTGTTTGCCCTAAAAGTCGCGGCTGGCTCCCGCGATGCTCTGGCTGCGGTGGAACACTGGATTTTCCTCTCCTGTATAGTATCTCTTCAGGCCAAGAACAGAATGTTTGCCACGTGGCTGTCTAGAGTGTTTTTGTGTGTGTGTGTGTGTGTGTGTGTGTTTGTCTGTGGAATTCCCTTATGCAAACATAATCAGACAGACAGACAGTAAGTAGCATAGTTACACGCACGCTCGCACACTCTCCGCCTTGTAGTATTATCCAGGAACAGGAGTAGCAGCAGAAGCAGCAGGATAATATGATACATTTCCATAATTCACCCAGCAGTTCGCCAAGCGGTCTGCTGCAGTTGCTCCAAAGCACAGCAGCAGTGTGTGCCAAATAAAATTGCATTCAATATTTCTTCCCGTTTTGCTCTCCTTGTTGATGAGATTTTTTCCCCTGGCACGAGGCTGCTGCATCGCCGCGCTAAAATTGTTTTCCTTGCATTATATTCATGGCTCCGCTGCTGTCTGCTTTCTGCTGCACTGCCGCACTGGCCTTAAACTGTGTGCTGCTTCTATTATTTCAAGTATGCTGCCGCAGAATATTGGTCCTGAGAAGGAGAAACGCAGACGAATATCATATGGAAATACCATTTTCACGCCATAAAAGGTTGTGGTTCTGGTCTTTACATTCATTTAATTATATATGAAAACTGTTTAACCATTCCAATTGAAATCATCCATCCTTCAATTTGTTGTGCAAAGCAATCCTTATAAAATGTTGCATTCCATATTAAACGCTCCCGCCGAAAGTATGCAATGCCCTTTGGCAGAACTATTTAACGGCAATCCATTCTTTGCTGCATACTTTTGTGCGTCGTTTCCGCTTTATCTCGCTCGCTCTAGTGCTCTCACTCTCCTTGTTCACTCTGCCTCTCATATATTCCGTACGCCATGCCAACCAAGGCCCGTGCGTGGGAGTGTGGGTGGGAATTACGTCATCAACTGGCATGTGGGCAATCTTTAAATATTTATTTCTCCCTGTTTGCGTACACAGCAGCCGGGACAAGATAGCATGCCAATACATTGAGCCGTTTTCCCTTTAAACAATGCGAAATTTTCATCAATGAAATGCTTGGACCGCCTTTTAGTTAAATCGAAACAAAGAAACAAAGCTGTGTTGGTGTCTGTGTTGGCGCAATCCCTACCAACCGCAGCCACAACAGGCCAAAACTGGGGCAGGAAGGAGAACAGGAGCAGAAGGAGCAGCAGCATCAAACAGCAATCCTTGCGGTAAAATAAATTTTGTGCAACTCATGACAGCTCCAGCAGCGCAGCTGGGTCTGAGGTGTCCGGGAGAGCTGTGGGACCAGTGGATGGGAGCGGAGCGTACGTGCCGAGATACAAAACTTGCCAAAAGGATTAGGAAGTCGAGGGCACAGGATGTAACCCCACCTCAGAGACCATCCTGCGACGCACGTTCCAACCTCTCAAAGGGTTTAAAAGGCAATCAAATTTAATTGTTTTGCGGTTAGCCGCAACAGTACTTTATCTTCTCCATCTTCTCCACAAGTCTGTCCCGCTGCCTGGTCAGCCTTTCACAGTTGAAATGTCAAAGAAGCTGAGCAGAAATACATGTTTGTGTATTTTTAAATTTGATGATAGACGAGTGCCCAGCTGCCGCACAGAAATGTCAATTAAATGTATTTACAAGTGGCGGAACAACACTCACTACACTGACGCCATGAAATCAGGTCCAATCGGATCCAAATTGGCCAGAGTCTGGGTATAAATAGGACTCACCTGTGCATTTGTTTACGCGACCAGTCAGTTAGACGTAAACAAGTCTCGCCGGAAGTGGGCCAAACATCGGTCTCAGCACCATCTAATCAGCATGAATGTTCATGTATTTGTTTAGGAGAGGCACCAGTCTTCGGTCTTCAACTGTTTAATCATCGCATCTCATCAGCGCCATTGTCATTGCTCCACTTTGACACAAGTTCAAGCGGCAAGGCCTGCGACTATAAATTCTCACTTTCCGCCACTCTCTAACATTGATCTCCGGTTGTCAACGAGCCGTGTAAAGGCCAAATTCCGCTTATTTTTAATAATAAATAAAAACCATCTCCACGCAGAGATATATGTACATATGTACATACTTGTGCATACATATATTTGGGAAATGTCATAAAATGTGGCGCCAGCCACGGCAGAAGCGACAGTCAACGACATCGCAACGACCTTAGAAGCAGCTTCGACATATCAAGCCAAGTCAGAAAAGAGCCAGAAATACTTACCACATAGCGGATAATTAAGGCGAACTATGTTTTGTACGAATTAAATAATTTATACCGCCATTTGTCTACGCATTCTGCATATTTTCCATTAATGACCCAGAAAATAGAACTGCCTCAAGCTCAAGCAGCTGAAAAATGGAATGTCTAAAAGCACAGAGATGAAAGGCAAGCTAATTGATTTGGAAGGATGGCTAAATGCTAGACTGCTCGATCGCAGCTAGCGATCCGCGATTGTTCTGTCTGTGTGTGGGTGGAATGTGCAGAGCAAGGTCGATAGCTACAAGAGAAAGCGGATTCCCAGTGGGAAATCGAATCATATAGACAATGTCTGCATATGTTTATTAAAGGATCGATGCGGTATCCTACTTTATCAGTTGTTACAAGATCAAGTACCTCGATCTACAAGATCCATCACCACTGTAAGGCCACCAACTACTGTGCCATTTCTCTTAATAGAAACACGGCATTTGTTCAAACCTCTGTTGATAAATATTGACCAGCTTTCAGTGTTCAGCTCAACATTCTTCACGTAGTATTCACCCTTTCGGAACGGACACTTGTCGTCGCCTTTGGGCACGTTCGAGTCAAGCAGGGATGGCTCGAAATACGACGCAAAAATGTTCTTCATAAAGTGGCAGGGCTTGTGGCGCAAACTGATATTGTTTGGTGTCCAATTTCCGTTCTTTAATATCCAGATATCTATCCATATTTCATAGTCCTCGTCGAGATCAACATGGTGGATTATCGTTCCATTTACGAACCGATGGCGTCCCACCAGCTTTAGGTTATATTCAAATAATGTTTCTTCGTCTCCATGAACGGTCTCCATCGACTCGAACTTCCCTTTGTAGGGGCTTTGTGCTGTAAAGTACTGGCAGGCAATAGGGCTTAGCTTCGTATTTATATGTTATAAATTATAAATATTTATCTACCAATGTAGGCAAGAGCACAAGAGCCTGTAGCCAGAACGAGAACATCTTTTGATAGGTTTGAAAATAATGATCTACAACTTTCAATACTTTCGGTGTCTCTTTTTATACAAATCTCCACGGGGAACTAAGGTAGCATGTTCTGCGCTCATTAACATGGTTTTTGTGTATCACATCTGATAGATTCTAGATTAAAATTGATGGTATCGGAGTAATGGTGTGACTGTACTTACAACCCGACATTTGATTTAGAAAACAAACCCGGATATAGTGCTCCGAACCAAATTGTTGCGCATTATTTATTCCCTGTAGCTAAAGAGAAGAGCAGGGTCAGGCAGATATTTTTGAAAAACAAATACTCTTGGGACTTAAGTATTAGTTTGGATATATAAAACGCACTGATGAACATTTACAAGGCTCTAGTCATTTTTTGTATCATTATTTATCATCATATTTAGATTACAATTTTAATTGCCGTAAAAAGAGTAGTTTTTCGATCATGTCATCAGGTTTAGATTAAAATTATAATTGTGCTCTCCCTCTGGCCAGCAACAACCTGTGGCAATAACCCCGAGCTCTTTGCTCGCCTGCCTGCCTGCCTGCCTCTCCTCACGTACGTCCACCGCCACTCCCATTAGCTCCCACATTCCCAGCAAATTGGGGCTAATGGACCAATGCTGTGTTGCAGTTGGAATGGAATGAGGCTGTATGCCGGTCCTGGCTGCTGATGCTGCTGTCTGCTGGCTTCTGGCCTCTGCCGGCCGGACAACATGGTTTATTATTAGCCCGCAAAGAAGTTTAGCGAGATAAACACACAGACTTCATGTTGCGCCTGCAGCCGTAGTAAAACTCGGCGGAAAACGGGAAAAATAATTTCGAAAATTGTGCTCGGAGGCAACAAAACGTAACGAAAATAGCGCACAACGAGGCGTTGTCAGAGGCGGACAATGCCGAGAGCCCAAAGTTTTCCCCGAAACTTGATTGAAATTGAAAAATATTTTCGAACGTGCCGAAACAGTTGCGCGTGCAATGAGCGAGCGGAGAGACGGGTCGAGTCGGATCGGGCATCGTGCATCGCGCATCAGACATCGGAGTGCCACAATTTGTCAAAATATTCCCCCGAAAAAACTGGGAATTCGCAGTGATGTGTAAACATTTATAAGGTGAAAAGCGTGCAAACAGAGCCAAAAATAAAAAAATAATAGTTTCAAACAATACAAAATTCAGCAGCAGACGGGGGAGGGCTAAACGATTCCGTGAACACTAAATAACAAACAGACTTTGCGTCCCACCAGAGACAGTGGATGATCTGGGGGTACAGCCCATTCCTGAATGCAGCTGCCACCGGCGTGGCAAGGTGTGCAGGCGGAAGAGCAACAACAATAGTCCCGGCAACAGCAACAGCAACAGCCACAGCGACAGCAATGAAAACGACAACCAAAGCAACTGCAAATCAAACGAAACAAAGCAAAACATTTATCTCTAACAATTAACAGCACTTTGGATGCCCTTTCCAGAGCAGAGCATATAGGATTCTTTTGGGGACTCTGTAAACTAAAATAAGAATGATTCAGGATTAGTCCTTTGGGGTATTGCAACAGCACTTACACTTGGTATTCCTAACAGAACATATGGTATGTGTATTTTCCTCAACTGCAGTCAAAAGTTGATGCAGCTCGAGTTAGGGCACAATCTAAAAACAAAACGTGCCTGCCGCCATTTTCCATTGGAGTGAATAACGCACGCGAAGAGACCGCCAGCAGCGTTAGGCGCATTTATAGGATTTGCATTATTCGAGGCAAAGCCGTGAGCGGAAGCGGTCAACGGGCGCCGTGACATCAAAGCAGACAGCACTTGGGAGCCAGTCCAGTTGCAGGTGGAAGTACAGGTCCAGCATAGCCATTCAGTCCCTGCCCAAAATCAAAACGCAGCTTAGTTCGGCAGCCAGTCTGTTTTCTTTGGACTCTGGCTGAAAACTTTAAAGCCAGCCTTGGTTCGGGAATGGACTTGCATGGGATGCGATGGTAAGGGAAGGTGGTTTACACCGAATCCGGCGCCAGACCACACCATTGTCGGGGCACGTTCGCATCAAGTGGCACTGCCCTGGGGGGCCTGGCCTGGGAGGCGTTTTGTTTATTTGCTTTTGCTGCCTGCTGGCTTAACGTGCGGCAGCTGACCAGCGGAGGGGGAATTAAGTGGACCGAGGATAGTAGAATAGGTGGAGTGGCAAGTTGTATGGCTGCAGCTGCCAGCGGCGCGTATAAGTAATTTTATGGCCAAGGCTTCGGTTTGTACGTTTTCGGCATTTTTAAAGCCATTTAAGTTCTGCCCCCGCCACACTCCATCCGCAGACCAATTAGACAGTCAGGCTGACTGCCCGACAGCCAAATCAGTGCACCCCTCTCGGAACCTTCTTCTTATGCGGTTCTGCCCATGACGCATGGCCTTTTATAACGTCTTTGTCGTTGTCGTCGCGTCCGGCTGTTAGACTCTCTTCCGTTTGATAAGATACGGCTCAGCGAACACGGCCACGAGCGTGGAGCGGAGGAGGCGTGTCTGCTTATCGGATACGCGGTGCCGGTAACCCATATAAAAATAGAAGAGAGTAATTTAATAACCAGTGTTTGCCTAGCAAGTATTTTTAGTTCGCACATTTCCTGAATTTATACACTTGTTTCTGGAATGCTTTTGAGATTAGACAGAGATCAGGGAATGCGAGAGCAAATAGATTTATTAGGTAAGATTTATAATGGTTCCGAGTGTAAGTTGAATGGAAGTGCTAGGATCTTGATGCGGTTCAATTGACTGAGAGAGAATCGAATGACTTCTTCTAAGAATTCAGTTGGAAATAAATTTAAACGGGAACTTTCCCCTGTTTGGAACATATAATTCCAACTCGTTTGCCAGACTTGCACCCAACGATAGGCTTTGTTTTTCTCTAATACGATTTACGAGTATTTCCCTTCATATCAGTCAAGTCCCAGTTTCAGCGATGGTCCACTATGTGATTGTGTGATGCAACGAGCAGTTAATCGCCGCATGGCCCCGTGACTGGCCGAGAGAACAGACTGAGGTCCTAGCCAAAAACGTGACACAATCGGTGCGGCAACAAGTTGCGAAAAAGTGACAGACTGTGAATAGGAAGAAGCGACCATAATATGGCAGGGAATACGGCACCAATAGATCTGCATACATACGAGTACGTAGTGCATATACTCGTATTGGTGCTGGCTGTTGCCAAAAGCGAGGCGGGATAGAAAACTACATTGAATGTGCTAAACGACGGCGGGGAAAATGATTTTCACTCGCTTGCAAACACATGCCGAAAGCTGAGCGGAAAACCAGAGAGAAAACATATAGATGGTGGAGCAAACAAATTGCTTTGCCATTTATTTTTATACAAACCAAAAGAGAACAGACAAAACACAGATACTCGTGCAAGTGCATACAGCTTTTGGAAGCGGAATCGAGTAAAGTTTGGCTGTATCTGTGCGTTCTTATTTATAGATACATATTGAATGCTCGCGAGAGTCGATCGGCGACAAGTCGTGCCAACCGCAGCCCCGTGCCTCTGCCAGTTATCAGCCAAAAACACATTTATAATGGAGCGCCAAGAGCGGCCACAAAGGAAACACACATATACGAGTATTGGTAAATGGCTGAAGAAGCACCAGCCGCGGCGAAAATGGCTCAAATCAAATAATGTGCGGCCAGGCCAAAACAGTTTGAGGCAAGGCGCTCGCTCGCGATGACACAATAGCACGCTGAGGCGCAGGCGAACGAATTTCGCGCTAATATCAAGCATACGCAACGTGGTGCGCCACCGCTGCCGTCGGCTATAAATAAACAAAAGGCAAACAATTCTTTTGTGCCATTTTTTAAGTGCGCAGAAAATACAAGAATCACCTAAAAGAAAGAAATATCCCAAATATATATTTTGATTTCCAGTCAAAAGTGAAGTGAAGTTGATTTGAAAAGCTGAAACGCAAAAGCGAAAAAGTTCTAAGTAAAATAAAATAATTACCATTAAATATTGTAGATAAAAGCAAACGCATAAACAAGCAAAACCCACAGACATTTACGCCCGGGGAATACTCACAAATATTTGTTCGTAGCCAACGGAAAAGTGCAACAGCTTCAGCACGGGTCAACGTCTGCGGGAAGCCAGCGCCAGGGGACGCAGCAGCATGATCTACATTGATGACTCAGAGCCGGAAGGCGGTAAGTCCCAATGGCAGTCGACTAATTGGTGTGGTACGGCCACAAAAAGGCCACCTAACGGAGCACTCCGATATCAGGCGAACAGAAAACCGGCCGCTGTCAACGCTGCGTATACGTGTTGTGTATCACCGTTGATAAGGGTCGCCTACTCCTCCTGCGCTCGATTGCCAGCTGCTATCTACATATATACTATATAAGAGTATATATTTCAGGGGCTTTATCTTAGTAAACTCGTGTATATAGCCTCCGATAAATGCACCCAGAGATAGAAGCTAGGGGACTTTTGTAATTATTGTAAATTGTATTGTATTTTCAAGAGCTCAACTCTATGACTCTTTCAATCAGGCTTCGAATGGTTGTTCCGAACGGTTTTCATTAGTTCCTTTTCTGCACTGCCTTACCAAAAAGCAAACAAAAATCCCTTTAAAACCAAACTGCAAATAGACAAATCAAATCAATACAAGTCTATGGCTTAGCAGATGTCTCTGTTGTCTGTTCCCGCCCCAGCTATCAGTATCAGCGGATAACAACGCTTTAATAAAGGGCCAAAACAATAAACATTTTCGGCCCATGATGCTGATACTGATGCAAGACATTAACTTTTATGCACAGATAAAAACCCAACCGAACCGTACTGAACCGAACGGATCTGTTAAAATCAAGCTGTGAATGGTGAAAACAAATGCTTAAACGATTTAGCGCCGCATCCCAATGGGCAAGGAGGCTTTTAAAAATACATGAATTTCAATAAAATACGACAATGCCCGACACTGAATTCTGGGCCCCGTATTCTGGTTGGGGGAGGCATGGCATCCATCCGTTCCCCAAAAGGGTGTCCAGATAAGGCGGGACTGTGATCAGGAAACATTTGCGCCGCCGTTTCCATTGTCAGAAACAATAAATTTCACGCATAAAACAAAAGAGAGGCCAAATAATTTCTCTCTTATTTTTTCTTTTGCTTTCACTTTTTTGCCATATTAAAGCTGAAATAAAAGCCAAGGGGAAGTACGAAAAAAGAGGCGATGAAGGATAAATGTCACACCAGATGAACGTTAAGAGAGAGCCAGAGATCTGAGAGGGTGGCTTGTTAGTCAGTGGTAACAGTATCTGCCGTGGAGCCCAAAGACAAAAGCAAGCCCAAAGTCCCAAACTCCTAAAAAACGGAAACGGAAGTGTCAAGTAGTTGGACGAAGCGGGAAATGGTTAAAAGGGAAACGGCCCAAAGAGTGGGCAAAAGCATGTAGCATGAAAAATGGCGAGCGGCGGGCAATTCCAGAAATGAAAGAACCTACAAAATAAAAACTTCGACAGACAGGCAAAGAAAGACAAAACCAAACGCGTAACACGAGGAGAGCGACTTCAGGGAAGGGAAGCGGTATGGATGGTATACCGCACACAGAGGCGTCCTGATTTAGTGCCGCCAACTCACGCCACAAGCCAGAAAGAAAGAAAGAAAAAAGCAAAGGGTTACGCGTCTCGTTTTCCCAGGCAGTTTTCCCCAAATTGGCAAATAACAACAAACGGAAATACTTGTCTACCTGCAGCAAAGGTGGCAGCAGGTGCCTGAAGGCGGCGGCAGGTGGAAACCTGACCGATTGGCCAACCTTTTCTGGCAAATTATCACAGTTTCTTGTCACCCTTAGACATGCCTACATACATACACATACTATAGTGAGTGTTTCTAGGGTTTTTCTCGGCTAAATTATGTGCTAATGACACATAAGCTGATTTCTCAATTTCCTTTCTCCAACCTCTCTACGTAATTATGGGAAATCTTGTGTACTCGAATCTTCCCGGGGCTCCAGAAAAAAAGGAGCTTGAATCAGACAGGAAATGAAAGCATTCGCAGCGGAAATTACCAAACCGCAGAGAAATTCAAATCGCTTGCACATATTTATAATGAAAATATATTGGATATTTTTCCCCATTCTGTTTTTACTCAGATACATCGCAAATCAAGCAAGAAAGACTTGAAACTATGCATTATTTTCTTGTATACTATTTTTAAAAAATACATTCGATTATTATAACAAAATTTTCCATCGCCTGTTTGGGGGGAGGGCGAGGAATCGATATTGTATAAACATAAAAACGAAATCTGCATAAAAATGCTGGCCAGCCACCGATGTTCTGGCGTCATTAAACGAACAGAATGTACATATTTCTACATAAAGAAACAGCAACAGGGTGCACCCGCTAACAGAGAAGAATAGCACATGGGAATATAGTTAGAAATTCAGCGATCATTCACTGTTCGAATAGGGGAAACATTTCTCATTTCTTTTTTACGCCGCCACCGAAAACATTCAAAATTAAATTTATATTTTGCCTTTAATTTTTCGTACTGCGCTGCCAAGGTGAGTGTAAAACAAACAGTCGAAAACCGAAAGAATTTTCACATGCTGTCTTGAAGTTACTCACCCTCACACCCCATGTCTCCCTCGGACCACAAACGAACATCGAGAGACTTTTATATATACCTATCTCGAGATACATATGTATACATATATAATTGAGATAAATTTATTTTACGTCGCATTTCATGTTGAAGGTCGTTCGTTGCTATTCACTTCAGTTGACGTTGCAAATTCCTCGGCCCTGCCTCATCGTAGCCGGCGCGGCGGGGTCTCTGTACTCTACTTTGTACGAGCACATACTATATAGGGACTGAGTAACGGGATCTAGACCATCAGCAATAGCCCCGATTTGATAATTTATCTATTTGTCAAGTAATTATGTAAATATTCCGCGCTTCCTGCTTTTCTTCTCTACCAGAAGTCAAATTGTGTGATTCTTCTTTAAGTATTCTCAAGTTGTGTGGTTTTTCTTCGAATTCCTCAGATATAGCTTTCTGTATATCGAGAGTGTCAGTGTGAGTCTAAGTGTGACTGCAAGTATGCGTGTGTTGAGTACTGAATGAATGAGAATGAATGCGGTTATGTTTTTGCGATTTTGGCTTGTAACCAAAATTTCCGAATTTATGTTTGTCTCTCTCTCAGCCAGCGATAATTTATTGAATGTGCTGGGACTGGGACTGGGACTGGGACCAGGCAAATTAAAAGACATTTTATATGCATATATCTGGGGATTATAACAATTTATAGAATTGAATACATATCCAGCCGCAGGGCATGGCAAAGCAATTCGCCATAAAAGGAGCTGGCCAGCCATTGAACACTTGTCTGTTTCTCTGGCCCTAACCATGTACAATATCAGTTCGGAATCATTCCATTCTTTGTTCCCGGGACATGCCTGCAATGTTGTTTAAATTTTTAATGCAAAAGTATATCTGGCTGTTTTTGCGGCCGCAGCTGCAGGTAGAACTGGGGCAGCAGGGACAGCATTAAAAATGCACATACGAGCGTGAGAACGAGTACGAATGGGTTTGATTATAACGCATACGCCATGTGGCGTAGGAATGCCAGACGCAGAGGCAGAGGCAGAGGCAGATGCAGATGGGGCGTGGACTGCCGCATGCTAAACAAATTAAAATTGCAATTTAATGTATTGGCAGGGCAGACAGGCAGACAGGAAGCCTTGTTAAGATTGCATTTGCCAAATGCAAAACCAAACAAACACCCTTTCCACAGAGAGGCAGCTCAATTTGCATGTATGCATGTGTGTATTTATGTGTATATGTATGCCTGTAGAGACTCTTACTTCGCGCCCGAAATGACAAACGGAAATTTCCATAATACAAAGCAGTTCCATCACTAACAGTTTCCTCCCAACCAAAATTCCACTGAAAATGTTATGCATGCGGTGAGGACGCTGCTCTGCGAATATAGGAGTATCCCTCATCCACACAAAATAATCAAAATTATGTAAATGCTTTTGGTCGCATCGTATGCTCTTATTTACTAGCAGCCTTACATTACGGCTCTGCACGCCGGGCAGGTCATTCCGCTTGCATTCCACGTCATCAGCCTCATCATTGGCTACTGTTATTCCCCATGGTGTTCTGTGTTCTGTAATTCCCATGTTGCCTGTTCGATGATTTATGGCCTCGCCGAGGTGCCACAGTTGCATTCATCAAAAGTTCTACCCGTCATCGGCTGCCATGGAAATCAAGAGCCATAATCAAATGTGCCAAGTTAATGCATTGCGTATGCGACATGGGGTTCGACCTTTTATTCTATCGATAGTCGGATTTTTGGGTCCAGTTGCGAGTTCTGTGCGATATTTAATTAAAGACCAGTAACTACATTTGAAATGCATTGACTTGCCGAGTGATAGCCCCCATTCCCCAATGGTATCTCTCCTGGTAATCGCCTTTACGCAACCAAACAGATCGTTATTCTCGAGCTTTGGCCCATTCCGGCTGAAATTAAATGAAACGCAATAAACTGTAACTGCGTTGGGGCCGGGCCAAGAGTAATGCGTCGGTTGGCGGCCAGCACAGAGCTGCTTCCCAATGCAGCGCAGAGGAGCACAGGAACAGAGTGGAGCACTCCCAGAGAATTATGGCTTACCTCTGCTGATAATTACTGGGAAAATGGTGCTCGACGTCAACAAACGCTAAAGCATATCTCCACATTTGGATCCGCTTTAATATGTGCGAATATGTTATTCTGCGCACAATATCCTTGTAGGCAGGGAGCAAGCAGCTCCCATTCATGCTTTTCCATCGATAGCCAACCAATTTGCACCCATAGCCAGAGCTTCGCTCTGATGTTTTTCATTTCACGTACATGAAACATTTCTGTATGGGAATTTGAAATCATCTGATTAAGTTTCAATCAAAAGGACCTACAGCACTTGCAATTATGTGTTGCACTGTTGTCCACTGTAACTGTTGAAATGTGTTTATCAAATGTTATTGTATAAAAATATTTGCTGTAAGTAGATTGATTCATTACGAAAAATATAAATTTTTAATTTTTTCTGTTTTAAAATCACAGATTCTTAATTCTTGTTAACCTAAAAAATATCAACTTTCAATCAAATACTGCAACAACTATTATTGTTATATGTATTCAGCACATGTTTATATTTCAAAG